AACCATTTGAAGACTGCAGAGTTGGCTTTTATTTGAGAAGCCAACTTGAGCAGTTCATGGTCTTTAGCATATCGTGTTGGCACAACCTTGATTCCCAAAATAAACGCAGACGATGTGAAGTAATTGTTTTGATGAGTTTGTGGCCCCTAGCAAAAGCAGAGATTTGAGTTTGCTGTTTACTTGTGCTTGCTAATGCTGTGCAGTAATTTGATTGAAGAAAACATAGATTTAAAACCTGTCGATTGTGCCCAATCATACAAACATTATTGTCGTTGTCCGTAGTGTTTGTAGTAACTTACTAAAGTGTTATGTAAATGCTTAACCTCCAAAATTTACGTAGGCTTAACATATTGTTTATAAAACACTATTTGTAAAATGAGGTTCAATGAAAGGGAAGCTTCTGAGATTTTGGCAAACGGTACCATTGATTTGGAGGGTCGTTTGAACTTTCGTAAGATATGTATTGGGAACTATAGTCAACCAGGTATGTCACAATCCAGTACTTTTGCTGTTTTCTTTCATTTTCTTTACATGTTTTATTCTTATTGTATTCTATTTTGGTCAGCTTTTAAAGAGCGATGGTTTAAATTGAAAGGAAATTTACTATTTTACTTCAGAATCAATGAGATTGGCAAAGTGGATGGAAAACAGGTACAGTAATATTTGTATTCTCTTGCGAAGCAGACTTTGCTTCTTCATGAATGGACCTAATCACTGTACTCTTTATCTTGTAGCCTACTGGATTACTCATTTTAGAAAATTGTTCCGTTCAACCTGAAGGAAATTCTGGTGTTCCCTTTGCATTCTCATTATCGTTTAGAGATGAACCTGACAAAAAATTAATCTTTGCTGGAAGATCTGAAGACCATGTTCAGCAGTGGATTAATGCATTGAAGCAATCTTCGTGAGTTAAAATCTGTTGAACAACCTGAGTTTTTGCTTGTTGTATTGATTATTTAATGTGCTTTTCTTTCCAGATATGAGTATTGGAGACAGCAGATGATACTACTACAGTCAAAAATTTGCTTCAGGACTGGAAAGGTATTTGTTATTTGTTATTTGAATGAATTTCTTTCAACTTCTTGTCATCTAGCTGACTGATGAATTTTTAAAATTTTGTTGTTGCTGTGTAGGATCCTCTACTTTTGTATCCTCATAATCAAGGCGTTGTTCGTAATTTTCAAGAACCTGATGAGGCAGATCAAATTGGAATGCGAGAGCCAAGTTTTCAAAGTCACATTCTTGTGGCATCAACTGCAGCCATATCTATACACACTGCTCCTACTCCAACACCATTAGCGCGAAGTGCCAGCAGTACCAGTGCCGTCTTGCGATCAATTGTCCCTCCCCCTCGTACCAATGCATTATCAAGAAGTGCAAGTAGTTCACAGGCCAACAAATCACCTCCACTTCCACCCAGAGCTTCAAGATCTCAATTTCATCATCCTGTTTCGCCACTTGCCCAGACTCAGGCGCCTTCAGTGATAAAGCTACCTACACACACACAATCTAGTGGATGTGTCATAGATGAGTCTCCTAATTTAATAGAATTGTAGCTGAGGATCATGTGAAGAGCTGTAATAGTGCTTTCCCAAGCTCTCTTTCTCATTATGTAACATATCCCTCACATCATACTTAACTCTCTTCTCAATTACTCATATTCCAAATTGAGCAGGTCTTTTTTTAGCTGTCTCCCAACTTCTACTATTTCCACTTCTTCTCATGTCCTTAAGCATATTTAGGGGTATTGCCTGCTTGACTTTATCTGCTAGCCACTACTGTATCAGTTATTATTATCTATTTCAGATTTGATCTGTGATGTGTGTCATTATTCTAATCATTGAGACAATACTCATTTACTAATTCAAGAGGTAGACTTAAATTTTAATTTGAAGACTGATTCAAGGCGTTGCCTGTTATAGAAATTTATTGTTAACCCTAATTTTGTTCAATATAGAAAACCTGTACCACTGAGCCTTTACGTAGTTTTATGAAATAGATGAGTATGTCGAATACATACTTTTCTCAACCCAGTTCCTTGACCAGCTAATTGATAGCAAGAGGCTCCTATATTTATTGTCCTGTATTTTTGTTTCTTTAACTATATTTCTACTTAAGTGAAAAAGTGTTTAAAATACCATTACTGTGTATCTATGTTTAAGTTTTAGAGTAGAGAAAATGAGTTCATATCTGGAGTATTGAAAGATAATTTTTGGGCATTTAAAGTATTCATAGTCTATTGTGAATATTATCTCATGCAGCCCAATAGTGTTTTTTTTTTTTTTTTTTTTTTTTTTTTTTTTTTTTTTTTTTTTTTTTTGTTTTTTTTTGTTTTTTTGTTTTTTTGTTTTTTTCCTTTTTGTAGGAAACAGAGGAGCAAAACTTAAACGTTTAAACCCAGTCCAACAAGTTTTGTGATGGGGGTTCTGTAGATTTCATTCTGAATTATTGGTCCTGTGATGGTCTAGTTTTTAAAAAGTTATGTTGCACAAGTGCCACTTGTACTTGCATAATTCTGTTGTACTCCAGTTTTCAATCCTTGAGTACGATTATTGATTCAATCTTTGCAGGTACAAAGTATTAGAAACTAAATAATCCACCAGAATACAATACTGTACTATGCATGTTGGCATAGTGCAATGATGTTACCTATATTACGGGTTGTATGAAATTAACATTTTATTAAATGGAATAATTCTGGTATGTTTTGTCTGTACCTCTGTGCCTATAGCTTTACGTTGGTGCTGTGCATGTACCCTTTTAATCTTAGGTATTGCACATCTGTGATTGGCTTACCTGCTCTGAGCTTGAGACATTCCATTGCATTTGTGCCTTTGTACTGGAGAAATTTTCTAAAAATTTCAGGGTTTATTTTAAAATGAGAATAACTTTATTCATGATGATTTAGATGAAGAAGTTTTGAACAACTTGGTGTAGATATTGCGCTTGTGATAGATATTGGATCAATTATTGACTTCCTTTTCTCTGCCTTTGTGAGAATTATAAATATATTGCTCCTTTTAAATGAAAGTTTAAACTTGTAATTGTAATGAACAGAAAATATATGTTTTGGTGATTGTTAATCTTGTTAATTTAGCTTTAACCTAAATTTAATAGATTATTGGTGGGCAAGGCTTGGCTGCTACTCCAAGCATGTGTTTGTCACAGTAATGTGCACAGTTTGATCCACACTGCACTGACTGAAGGCAGATGCACTCTGCACAGTCTGTGCTTGATTGTGCTGCTCGTGGAGTCATACGGCCAGTGAGACAGCATCCAGGGCGGCACGTATCACACCTAACAATGATTATAACTTATATCTTAAGCTGGGGATACTTCAAAGAGGTTGTTTTGCACAGTACACTAGCACATATTCTCACCAACAGTTGTTTTTGTGTGCTCTTCTACTAGGAAGTTCACAGACACCTGGCCCTCCACTGGGTCTGCACTTGGTCACTGGCTGTGACAGGCAACAGTCTTTTCCTCGACAGTCTAGCCGTCGACACTCATCCTGTGTGTGTGGATTTGTATTGTTATGGTCTTCTTTGAAACATTAATAGTGTTATAGCAAGCTAAAGTTTGCAATGATTGTTTGCTATACCTGCAGACCATTCCTTTTTGGACATGCACATCCAAAGTAAATTTGGCTTGCCACCAGCTCCCTGCTGCGGTATCGTCGCAAGTCCCAGGGAGTACCGTTGCCACCTAAATCCTGAGAGCAATGAATGTAACTCAAGTGATAGGACTGAATACAAGTAAATCTAGGGAATGCAAAATTGAGTCAATTGTTTACCACAGGCTTGGGTAACCATGTACGAGGCTCATAGTCTACATTGATCCTTGGGACTTCAGTGGCCACTTCTCGCATATTCGCTTTGAAACGGGTCTCTTTTACTGGTAGACCTGTGACCATGGGATAGGTTTGCCAATCTATCTCAAAAGGTACCTAAAACGTTTGGTTCATTAAAATTTATTTCTGAATATTTTTTCTTGTCAGAAATTTATGTCAGCTATGTTACCTTTCTATGCTTAGGTGGTGGTATATCTCTCCACTGTTTATGTTTCCTACCAGCATGGTCCGAACAGGTCTGCTTTGTATTAGAGCCACAACTGGAAGAAAGAATTATTTGTGATGGCTCAGCAGCCCTGGTATAACACTATTTCTATTGATGGGGAATTTTCTCAATACCAATAATCCAGCTCTTTGATAAGCCCTCCCAACTTCCCAAGAAGCTCCTCTTCAGTCGCCATTCTTGATCTTGGTGTGATAACTTAAAATGCTAAAATTACATGTAAAAATTTCCTGTCAGTTCTTGTTAGTTTCATTTTATTTTATTTTATTATTAAAAATTTTGGCCATTATGGCCTGTCGTCGGTGTTGTCCCGCCTTGTCACATGGCTCATTGTTGCCACGGAAACCTTCTGAGAAAGGGAAGGTGCCTGGGTGCCTCACGGAGTCCGATAGCTGCATGCGGCATGCGGCTGCATGGCACAACAAATGACGGACATGCCCGTATCACTTTTAAAGGGCATCAACAGTCTTCATCAATGCATTAAAAGTTCACATACATTTGAAGCGTCTTGATGCCTCCGGCAAGGCATAACAGTCAGAATGCCTTCAACAGCCCTCCCTGGAAAGCGGGGAGACGCAGGAGCCCCCCTCCCGTGTAGGCAACCAACCTTTCGCTGTGCCCGGTGGGTTGCCTGCCCACCACCCCGCAGGCGCTCCATGTCGAGCATGTCGAGATGCTTAACGTACCCGACTCCGTCCCGCCAGGGCCCTCCCCCCTCCCCCCACACGCTGTCCGGAGCCGCTATAGCGCACCGGGTCTGGGTGGCCGGCAGGTGGGAGAGGTCAAGAGGGGGTTCTAATCAGCCCTAGCACACTTCTGCACAGTAACTTAATGCCCTGACGGGCCCTTAGCTGACAGGACGTCTCCGACTGGGTGACAAGGAAGTGGAAGCGAGGAAGCTGTAGCAGCGTCCTTGCGTCAGCCGACTTGTGTTTCGCGCTTTTGTCGCATATCTCTCGGGGTCTCTTTGCCGTCTCTTTCTTCCCATTACATTTTCTCCGATAAACAGATCAGCTTGAATCATCCCGAATGGCCCGGCGGCGGCGATGCGTTCGTTTGGTTGTTTTTTATTTGTATCGCGATAGCGCAGCCTGTTGGCCTGTTCAAAGCGGACCTAGATATTGGGCACAATCTACAATCCTTGGACCCGCAATGCGGATGGACCAGAAAACCGAGATTTTGGCGGGGGAGGGAAGATAGTACTTCCCTCTGCAGATAGAGGAAAAAGTGCGAGGGGGGGGGGCTGCTCGAGCGATAGACTTCGAGCAGTTTGTACTTTAACCATTGGGACGACTCGGACATTCGGGAGTCGAAAGAGATAGACAATTTCGGAAATAATAGAGGGGCAGCCAAAAATAGGAGAGAAGCGACAGTGCAACAATGAAAGAGATGAAATGGCATCGCCACATTATGTCAGTGTATCGAAATGCCTCTATCGCTGAAGAGGAGGTAAATATTTACCTGTCCTTTAGGGGCGGGTCGAGAGGCAAGGTCCTCCAAGCCTCAGCTACTATTCGCCTAGGAATGTAGTTAGACTGAAGCTCGCTCGCTCCCTCTTCCAGAACATAAGTCCCGCAACGAGACTGACAAGTTCAGCCCATGCAAGCTCTTATAGCGCCTGATGGGTAGGTAACGCCTCGCCTGCAGTGCGTGCGTGCACTGCGGGCTGGCCTACCCCGAGTCTCGCAGGCGCCGAGCCCCTGTAATTTGCCGAATGAATATGAGAAAAAACAGACTTACCTTGTCGACGATCCCTAAGGTACCATGTTCAGAGACGATAGGCAAACCCTCCAGCACACTTGCATGCGCACTGCAAAATTCTTGCAAATAATTTTGTGTTCTTGCGATTTTTGTGAGGGGGAATGTTTACTTGTGTCATCAACAATAATATTTTAAGTTCAAGTAACAGGGTCTTTGGGGAGGGGGGGCAGTCCGTATGCGAACACAACACAAGTCAGCAGGAAGAAAAGACGTCGCCGCTTTGGCCGCGACGGACAGCATATGTAGCAGATCGGATGACATTATTTATTTATTTTATTTTTTTCGTCCCTGCGCCCTGCGCGTGTGACCCGGCCCGACCTATCGGCTCGTGCGATCTGTTCCGCTGCTCTCCTTCCGACACAACACAACAACGGGATGAAAGCAAAAGAGGAGGCGGCCAAGGCGGCGATTGATAAGGGATTGGCGGGGAGATGAGGGGAGGGGGGACACGGACCACATATATGCCCGGGCCCTAGGACCAACAGACATACAGCCAAAGCTTGCCCGTCCAGCCACTTCGCTACTCGTCGCCCAGAGACACCAAAACCCACCCTCAACATGTCCCTCAAGGTTCTGATCGCCCTCGCCGTCGTCATGGTCTGCGCCCTGGCCTTCACCGAGGGTAAGTACTAACTGCGCTCATCGCCGACACTTGTCGCTATCAGGGCAGCCAAGTTATGAATCCAATTTCGTCAGTCATCTGAGAACGATGCCTGTTTTATCGTCGCTTCATTTGAGTGATGATTTTCGAACATCGCTCAATTCTGAGTGGTTTAAGATTTACCACCATTTACGTTACCGACACGGAGTCGTTTTCGCAAACGTCACTCTCTTGGGCCCGGGGAGGGGGGGGGGGTCGACCCTCACATTTACAGTGAACCAGGACTACTCAAACGCCTACGTCCCGCGAGAAATATACGAGCCTCCCCGGAACTCAGCCATAAACTGATCGACTTCCGCAGTTCACAACTGAGTTGTAGCTGAGCTGCCTCCCTTTAGTGAATTGAATCTGTCTACAAATCCGTATTATTGCCTTTCCTTGCAGCTGAGCCGATGAAGGCCGGTATGGTGAAGGCAGAGATGGTGAAGGGCGTCGACGAAGTCGAAGAAACCCACGCCAGGATCGTTCGCAGCCCCGCCGACACCAAGCCCAAGCTCAGCTGCGCCGTGAGTACCCGAGTGTCCCTGCTGCAGCACAGCAAAGGCTCTGTGCCTCTCTTGCTGACCCGGCTCACCCTCTCTGTTGCAGGACAAGGCGTGCGTGAAAGGCTGCCGAATGGTGAACGGCAAACCCGAGTGCCTTCCATAGACTAGCCGCCCTCACCAAGGTAAGGAGCCAGACGACGAACAGAGCGCTAAGAAAAGCTTGCGCGGCGAATCTGGCCACGTAAGCTACAGTGAACCCTGGAACACTGCAGCCTACGGAATTTTTCACTGTGAGCCAATGATGAATATCACAGTAATTTGCTGTGATGCGCCTTGGTTCGTCGTAGATTGCAATGCCGCACTGCCACACTGAAAACCTTTGCTAGATAATGGTTCATTGCGCCCGCACAAGCGTTGTTAGACTGTATGGCCAGCCCTGGCCATGGCGCTCCAAACGAGTAGGCAACCCGCGCGTGTCCAACGCGGTACAGTCCAACTATGGAAAGTAGGCGGGTCGAATCAGCCACCTGGTTCAACTAAAAAACTGAATCTGGCCGCCTTACTAAATAAAGTTAGTAATATCATGATTTTCTCCGTCTCTTTTCCAGTTCTGACCGTCGCCTCTTCTCTCAGCTCCCTCGCAGAATTACGGAATACATCATCGAATTATCGTTTGCCTCCAAATTAATGTCCATCTTATCTTTTTTTTTCGAAGATGATAATAAAACGTCATTATTCATATTCGCCCCGTGATTCCTTTTTTGTAGACTTGCCACGTTCTGACATATACATCATACATATGACAATATTTATTGGGTGGAGGGAGGAAGCGTTTGGTGGGGGGAGGGGGGAGTAGGGATACAAGGTAGAGGGGGCGGGGCGTGCCTGTACCGGTGGCCCTGCGCCGCCCGGCCCCAGCGGGTTAGTTGGCAGGAGACCACATTCAGTCTGCAGCAGAGGACCCGAGGTTCAGGACAGTTCACAAGATGGTTTGCGGCCTCTTCGTCCTCTTAGCGGCGGTGGCGGGTGCCCAGGCCGCCAGCACCGGTGAGAATACAGACGTCTGTTTTGTTAGTGCCACTGACGGAGTGTGGGGTCGACGGGGATGGGGATTGGGAGGAGTCAGTTCTCTATTTTCCCAAAACGCAAAACAAAAAGCGTAAATTAATAGAGTTAATCCAGTACGATCACCCAACTCTAGTTGCATGCTTTGCTCCAAAGTAAAGATATTGCATCCGGACAAGTAAAATGTATATGCAGGTACTCCAGAGTGAACCAAAATCCGAAAAATTTAAATCAAAGCCGCTATTTTGTTACTGACAATGAGTGGACAAATGTAAGCATAGTAACAGTACGAACGTCAGAATCGTTCGCAGTAACAACATGCACCCAGAAAAATAGTTTCTTGATTCAAGTGCAAGCTGACAAAAGAATTAATTCACCATTGAAACAAGGCAATTTTGTCTTTGAAATAAGATTTTTCTCTTATTCAAAAAAAAATATCTGCTTGTTTCAAGAGTAAATTTGATCTTGTGTGAGCGTGCACTTGTAACAATGAAAAGTTTGGTTGAAACAAGAAACGATTTTTCTGTGTGTAGTGAGATGGTGAGCTACCCATCGTCGTCATTCCATGTCCGGAGTCCGGCTTCAAACACAAAGTAGAATCTGTTCAAAATAATTCCAACTACCGAACATGGAAACAGGTTCTTCTGGCACTGCCCGTGCGAATCGCACCGGAGTGTCACACGGCTCGCTGGACAGGTCGCGGTGCGGTGCGGGGTGGCGGGGCTCGGGCGTGGGCCGGGCGGGGTCAGCCAGCCACAACAAGGTGAACAGCGAGGTCACATCTCCCCCTCCTCCCGATGTCATCCCGCCTGCAGTGTGTGTACCAGGAGCACCACACTTGACGCACCCCGCGGTTTTACAGTTACGGACTGTACCGCGGCGCAGACTATGTAGCGGGGGCGGTTGCCTACCGGTGGCTGGGTTCGACGCACATCCAGGCCACAGCGCAGCCGTGGTCGTGGGGGACAAGCCTGCGACAATGTGCAGCACATGAAAAAGCTAATGTGACAGGTGTGTCGCACGTTTCTTGACGCACTCTCGTCAAAAAGCGGATGCCCTACCTTGGGCATCGTCCAGAAAATGCGTCCGTTTTTTCCCTCTGATTCTATACTATCGGTAAGTTGTGGGAGCTGGGCGCCTGCGAGACTCGGGGTGGGCCACCCCGCAGTACACGCAAGCACTGCAGGCAAGCTGTTGCCTACCTACCAGGCGCTATGAGAGCCAGCTAGAGGCTGATCTCGGCAGGTTCCGAACGGAGAATGACGAACGTACTTTCTGGACGATCCCTAAGGCAACGCCTGTAAATGGCCCCATCCCTTTACATAAGAGCCGCATATGCAGCATCACGCATCACCGACGCATTCTGCCACCCACCTCGAAACGCTTTCTCATGAGAGTGCATCGTGGCGTTAGTTTTTCCTGTGAGGGTGCTGTCTGCAGCACCCAGGTAGGTGTGTGTGTGTGCATGTGTGCGAGGCGATCGCCCCTTCGCCCCCCCCCCCTTTCCCCGGTCGGCCCAAATCGCCCTCTGGGGTAGCTAGGCAATTAGTCCTTCAAAACCCCTGAAAGTAGGCAACCAACACTTCATGACATGAAGAGGCGCACCTGAACAGAGCCTGTTCATCGTGCAGTGTTCCTCCGCCGAGCGCTTAGCGCCGCCTCAAATCCTAACAAGTGATTAAGAGCGTTAAGAGCGCCGGGACTTCCCCGCTCCTCATTGCGTCACCGCGTTCGCCGGGGTCCCATTGTCACGCATGTGGCCGTGACCGAACGCTTGTTGTTAAACGTGTTCCGGTCGGACGTCGTTTGGTCAGACTCGGTCAGACAAAAGCTATGGAGAGCGAGAGAATGACCAGACAGGGAGGGTAACGTTCGGAGGAGGGGGCAGAGGGGGAGAGGGGAGAGGGGTCCTCCTTGTGTAACTCAGGCTTTGCCAGCTTTTCTCTCTGCTGGGCTTCTCCTAGCGCCTTTCAAAGGTACACGATGCGTGAAAAGCGCGTACCAGAGAGCGAGAAAAAGGGAAGAAAAGGTCGTTGGAATTATAATGTTTGTTGCGAGCTGGTGCTGGCATGCATATTTGTTATTCGGCTCTTTTTATTAACAGTGCCTCCCTGGAGCTGGTCCAAGTCGCGTCTCAAAGACTTCGCGGCGAAGAGCTGGACGCGCCGAGGGGACTCCGAGTTGTTTTATTTTCCTTATTTACTGACGCGGCTCGGGGTCTCGTGGGGGTACGCGACGTGTTCCGGAGGGACAAGGTCCTCGTCCTCCCGGTCGCCGGCCCCGACCCGGCCTCAGCCCCGCACAAGGGTGCCCCGGTCCAACGGACCAGCAGAGTAAGGAGTAAGGGTCGAGGGTCGGCCATGAGCGAGTAATCCATCCCTTCGAGTTCCACCTCCACCCTCGTGGTTTCGCGAATACGACAACGTGGTGTATCATTTTGGGACTGTCTTATTTGCCCCCACCCCCTCCTCCCCAAATTCCACTCCAACCACTGCAATAAGCAAAATGTGGACTCGCGGCAGGCGGAAGGGTGAGGGACAGTCTCTGGCAGCCTCGAACCAGGGGGAAGCAAGCCATATGATTTTGCCTACTCTCGGGCGGATTATTGTAGCCCAGACTGCCTACTCATCAGACCAGGGGCAGGGGTGGGACTTGGTCTGGTCAGGGAGTGACCGCGAGCTGGCCCGCAGGTGCGTGCGACCAGAGCGCGTGCAGCGGCGACGACTCCGGCCTGCGCCGCCTGCACCACTACTACAGCGAGCTGGACTGCAAGCCCGTCACCAAGCCCGGGGAGTGCTGTCCCACCAGCTACGACTGCGGTAAGCCGCGCTTTGGACACCTAAACTGTCTCGACAATTAGGAATTAGGTTTTGACCGAGCCCCTATCCCCGTCCGCAGGCCACATGGCGACGCGAGACAAGTCCGTCTGCTACTTCAAGGGCAAGGCGTTGGACGTGCGGCCGGACATCAGTGCGCTTGACCCCTCCGCCTGTCTGGCGGGCTGCTTCTGCAGGCAGACCAAGGAGGCCGGCGCTGTGTGAGTATTTGTTTTCTTCCGTCTTCTTATTTTTTGTGAGTGTTTTTTCTTTGTTTTTGCGGAGTAAACAAGTTGTCGCTGCATACAGAGCGATGAGTGTGACCGTCCTTGCCCTCCTCTCGCCCCTTTCCCTCTCCCTCTCTCCTCTCCACGCCGTCGCTGCAGCAGGGGGTCTTATAGCTGACGGTTATCTATTCTCTGTTCTAGGGCGATGCTCACCTGCGCGCACGTAGAGTGCCCAACCCTTTTCAACCCTTCCCTCATCCCGGAGGGCTGTGTGGCTACCTACTCGACCGAGAAATGCTGCTCCGACGGCATCCTCTGTACGAACGTCAACGACGTTTGAAGTTTTTTTTGCGTATACCATCGCCAAAAGAAAGCGTGTGATTTCTTTGTTTGCCCATCTGTCAAACAGGCCCTCAGAATACGACCGCTGAGACCACCAAATGCGAGTGGAAGGGGAAGACGTACCTCGAGGGCGAGAAGTTCTACCCGGAGGAGGAAGCCCCGTGCAAGACGTGCATCTGCCAGAAGGGTTTCGACGGTAAGCAAGTCAATGTGCGCGACAGGGCAGTTAAGGTGCATGCCGCCACAGTGAACGTTTGGCCGCGGCCGCACGGTATACTCAGGGTTGGCCGCCAGCTTCACACAGCTGCTTGGCGGGTTGGCCTACCCAGCGTGTGTTGCAGCCGCTACCACTGGCGTAGCCTAGCCCGTCACTAGGTCCCGGCGTTACGCTGTGCGCGATGACGAAATCGTGAAATTGTTGCATGTGGGGGCATAGCCGGAAGGACGAAAGGTGCCTAACGTTTTCCCTCGCCACCGCGGGGAACGTTCACGGTGTGAGAGGTACCACTAAGGCTAGTTTGAACTCGTTGGTGCAGGCACGCTGAACGGCCCGTGGTGCAAGGAGGTGACGTGCGGGTTGGAGCTGCACTACACGAACTACATCACCAAGGGGTGCGCGCCCGTCTTCTACGGCAAGAGCAAGTGCTGCCCCATAGAATGGCGCTGCCGTGAGTATAGCATCTGGTCCAGCACAGCAGCCGTACGCGTGTATGTGATCTGATATCTCCTTTCTACCGCACGCAGCTGCCGATGACGACGTCGTGGTCGCTGTCGCCACGAGCAAGAACCCCGGTGAGTTTCGCGGCGAAGTGTCTGCTCGCTAAACTATGGAACAAGACACACCAAGTGTCGGTCCCTCCCGACTAGGGCCTCTCATGACCTCTCGCCTTCTCCCCGCCGCGCAGTGGACCCGGAAGCGCCGACCTGCAAGTGGGGCCCGCTCACCCTCAAGCAGGGCGAGAGCCTGGTGCCCACGCCCAAGAGCGGCCCCGGCCCCTGCCAGCGCTGCCGGTGCGAGGTGCCGCCGCACGTGACCTGCGCGACGGACGACGGGCAGACGTGCGCCCCGGACAACGTCCCCGACGTGGCGGCCCCGGAGCCTGTCCCGGACACCACGGTGGACGCGACCACGGCGGCCGCGGCCAGGAGCGCCCGCAGCATCACCTGTGCGGTGAGTCCACCTCAACCTCGCCCAGGCGGCCCGGCGCACTCTGAGGCAGCGCGCGTTGCCTGCTTCCATGAGGGGCAGATCCAGCAGAGGGGCTTGTGTTGTACTCAAGGAGGCTTTTCTGATTTCTACAGAATGTGCGGTGCGTCCGAAAATGCGTGATGGTGAACGATGAACCGAAGTGCATGTAAGCAATCGAACGGTGAGTGTATTGGAAGCTTTATTAGTGTTGGTTGGTGGGACAAGAGAGAAAGGGGAAGGAAGAGTTGATTAATTCTAGGAAATTTTCAATCCTGAATAATTTGCATTACTGTAATTTATCGTGTACAGCACCAACCATTTGGCCTTTTCTATGGTCTGCGAGAATTGGATGACCCTCCATTCATCTCCCCAGTAGTCATCAAGTTTCTTTTTTGTTGTTGTTTTTCTTGTGGTTTTTAAAACAATTTCATTATTATTTTTAAAAATATTATTGTGAACATCAGTATTAATTTTTTAAATTATTTGAATGGAACATGGAAGTGTCAGTATAAGAAATAAACATCACATAAATAAAAATACAGTATTGTATTGATTGAACGGTACATTAATACTTGAGCAGTACAGGCCTAAGAAAAACGTCTTTTCTCACAATTACATCATTGGTATCTTTATGACCAACACAATCAGAATATTTGCTTGTATATGAGATCACTGGTGATGTCAAAATGTCAAGGCAATGTCATTGAGACCACCTGACGCTAATGTGACAAAAACGTTTTCCTAAGGTGACAGAACACGTGCAGTACAAAAGTCACAACAGGCAATGGTTCACAAAACCAAAGAAAAGCTCCCAAAAAGAAGCAAAAGTCAACTTAATAAATAAATATCAGCCCAACTAAATGACAAGTGCAATGATAACATTTAAAAGACAAATAGTACTGTGGGTTTATTACATTTTAGTTTATCACATGGCTAAATACCCATACAAGGCACTTAAAAAATCACAGGTACAAAACGTGCAAAACTCAGTCAAATTCATACTTTTATTCCATTTTGTAGTTTAAGGTAACTCTAAAATTAAACAAGGATAGCAGGACCGGGACCTAGAGAAACATTCTATGTTAATAGGCTATTTTACAAATATGAGTGTAAGTATATGGTAAGAATCTTATTGACACTATTTAGTTCTGAGAGCTCAATCTAACATGGCTTTGGTGAATTGCATTTATTATGAAACCTTCAGGAGAAAACCATAAGTCATGTCTCAATCAAAAACAATCATAAACCAAGAAAGGAGCCAACGAGCACACCTCGTTGAAAATCAGACTTAAATTTGATTTTTCTCACACATCTAAAAATTTTAAAAATGTCTAAAACAAAATAACAAAGAGAAAATAGCATGAAATGTACTTATTAGTTAGGTTTAGAGGGACAGGATGCCAGACGGGCCTTAAAAGGAGTCCTCTTCAAATTTCACGTCAGGACTTTGCATGAGGCTAATGACAAAGAAATATCAAGAAAAGAGGGAAATGACAGCTATAAGTATTTGTAAGACCTAATATACCCTTTTGGAATTAGTCCATTGTTCCTTATGACTAAAAATCCAAAAATAATAAAAGAGGAAGACAGAAAGCCATGTGCTTGTGTGGATAATTGGCTCCCTTCTGTGTTGTTATTGAGCCTCATGAGGCACATTTGCATATGTTCAAACAAACAAATACAGAAAGGGTGAAGGTGTTATGTCTCTTTCTGGAGAGCATCATGGCAAAAATAGGTCAGTTTAAGAGAGTGGAAAAGAACAAGTATAAAGTACATTTTCCATTTGTTGAAAAACATTGTAAAGTGCAGATGTTTCTGTACTTGATGATGGACAAAAAATCAGCAAAATAGGGGCATAATTAAACAGTTATTTTTTGTTCTCAAGTTGAAGTTAAAATGTTGATTGGGATCTTCATTTGATTGATGACCAGTTTCTGGTCTGGGTCTGAAGGTCGATCTAAAAGTAAATGGTTGGAATGTTGTATGATAGCTAATTCAAAGAAGTCATTGACTCAGACTAGAATAGCAAAATTAATTAATGGGATTGTTTCAAACTGCATAGGCAAACTATTCCTAATACAATAGGAAAACCCAACGCGTATCAAATGAAGTGAAAGGGTACATTTAGAAACCCTTATCACAGATAGACATAGCTCACTCAAAAAACCCTCCGAGGTATTTCTGGAAGTTGTGATGTGTTTTGTATCAATTATAGATGACCAAACATCTATAGAAAAACTAGAGGTAGAGGTAGATTTTCAAGGTGAGTGTGTACTGAATGAGATAGTTTTCTCTAGCACATGCATTTTTAATTTGTCAAAAGAAAAACTGTACTTGTGTGAGCACTATAAAATTGGGATTCAAGTGTGTGTTGTTGGAGAATGGGATTTCAGTGTTGTTGAAGTGTAAGTAAAGTCCATTGAGATGAAAATATAAACATATAAAAAAGAAAATGGAAGATGAAATGAAGGTCCAATGACCCGGGTAAATTTGAAGAAAAGAACCAATGGACTGGAAGAGATGATCAGCAGGTACGATCCAGAGCCACAGGTGAGAGAAAACCAGTATTTTTGAGACTTTGTGGAGTTTAAAGATATTTTTTCTCATATCCAGCAAATAACATTACCAGAATAGGAAGAGTGTGACACGCTTTCTTCACCATGGCACTCCGAACAATGTACTTCAGTTACTCATAAAACATTTCAAAATTAGATATTACTAATTTTGTTTAGAACTACTCCAGATCTATTTCTGTCAACTGTTGAGATGGGGGGAAAAAAGTTGTTTGACAGCTAAAACTAAGTAGGTTGTTTCTTAAAGCTAGATGAAGTTGGGTAACAGAAACAAACAACGCAATTAAGTTCTTCTGTACTCATAGTGATCTTGAAACAAATTAAATTCTCTATAGATCAAAGGTAAAATTGTTAGCTGCACTTCATTCAGTTCAGTTTGAATACAGGCAACTTCTGGTGTGAGACACTAACAAACAGACAAAAAACTTAACAAACTGGAAGGTTAAATCAGTCTCATTCCATATCTGATTATCAACCTTACATTTACAATGACATTCACTTTCCTGGTGAGCAAAATAATATTTGCATAGGATTATTACAATTCTACAATTTATACAAATATTGTGAAGAAACGCAATTCTGATCTTAACCTAATGAATAAACAACAAAAATCCAGTAATTGCACTGACATTCCAAGAGCACACTCAGACATTTAGACAAAGCAAACTCCATGAAACAAAATGAAATTGATCAGCTCAAACATGAAGGTTGATTGATCATATTTTTCTTACAAGTACCGGTTTGTCATATAGAGAACAGAATACTAGCTGATTAGGTGTTATAATTTGATCTAAGCTTTGCCAGATGGATCTAGAAGGGACTAAATTTACTAGAACAAACTTTATGGTCAGTCTTCATTACCCATTGATAAGAGCAAGTTGGACACATATAAATATATATATATATATAACATATCTTTGCTTGATATTTATAAAAATGTTTCCTTCGTGTGATCTGAAAAGAATGCATAAATTTGCCACATTCAAAGGAACATTGGAACATAAGTCTGTAGAAATTAAAGGGATGAAGTGCGCAAGATTGATAAAAATAATAAACAAACAAAAAAGTGATTCCACAACTATAAATTCAAAATTCAAGAGAACCCAAAAAGCAAATGGCACCAATGAAGTTTAAGAATCTCAAAATATTGCCTCCAGAAAAAGATGACCACTGAGTCAAAATGGACACAAGAAAAAGTTATAACAAACCACTAAGAAGTTATTTTGCTGGTTACAACGCATGCAATATCATACAAGGCATCTAGCATGTAGACAAGACAGCACACAGAAGTAAAAATATGTATTCACATTTTTTCATTTGACATTATTTCATGGTTTTGTACTAAACATGTTGTTGTATCTCAACATTCAACACAATTAATTTAACAGATGGAAATCCAAAGTAAAATGGATCTAGCTCCACAACCCTAACAAAGATGCGTGAGATCAATTTCAAACAATGATGCCAACTATTATGCTAGAGCCCAAAGTCCCTAAAGTCTATACGATGATCCAGCCTGCAATATAATTTCTCATAATGACAAAAATAAATTATTCACAATATATATCTATCTCTCTCTCTATATGTGTATACCTTTTGGAAACAATTAATTTGTCCTTAACTGTACATGGTTTTTGATGACTGGAAATACAGTATACTACACAAATATCTCAACATAAAGAGAAAACAAAATAATATAAATCAGAAACTGATTACTAGGGAATTCCATGGGCTCTAGTTTTGTAAATTCATGTTCATGACAGACCCGCGCCCAGAAATCACAAACATATAAACACAACAACAAATTATTATACCTACTACCTACTACTGTTGATTACAGTAGGATTTAATAAACTCAGCTCCAGACTAGTACTGTGCTTTAGGCAATAAAGCAAAGGGGGAGGCGAGTAAGAGCTACATATTGTAATTCCTAGAAAAATCAATTCAGCTGAGAGCAAAGGCTGACTTTTAACCACTTTCAACTATAACAAAAAAAAAAAAAAACAGCAACATATAATTGTTTCTATTTACAGTTTTATGAGAAAAGATAGAATATCACACACCCACTACACGAACACAAGGAAGTATTTAACACACTAGTGCGTCCTTGGTCAAACAAGAAATACTATCAGTGGTGCAGAATGAGTCGTTTTGAAGACCCTGATAATTAAGATGAAGAACAGTTTCAAAACTGTTAATATTTCTAAAATATCACCAGTTGCCACCATATGGTTGTCGTGGCATTGGAGGTCCCCTTCCACGGAAGGGCCGATAGAAGCCTCTACCCCTGCCTCCTCTCTCATGCATAGGAGGAGATCTCCAGTTCAGACCATGCCCTCGAAAGCGTGGGGCTCCAGGGGACATGGAGGGATGAGGCATGGCCAGGCCTGGTGGAGTACCAGGCACACTTAATCGAGAAGGCTTCCATGGGCGTCCCCGATTGTTGGGATCAACAAAGTCACCTTGACCATTCCAATCACCATCACCTTCTTCAATTTCCCCATTGTTTGGCATAAGTGAACTAAGGTCGAGTTTATCAGAACCATTGCCAATATTTATTCCATCCACAACTTCCTGAAGTAATTGTGGGTCCATACTAGCAACCATTTCCTTTATTTCTTCATCATCTGATAGGCCCATGTTGAGATACTGACCAATTGACTCTGTGTCAGATTCTTCTGGACCAGAGGACTGAGTTCCAGACGGTGTAACTTGTTGAGTGGTTGAAGTAGGCATTGAATGCGAAGGTGATGCTTCAAGTGTTCTCTGCGCTACCAAAGCAGCAGGTACAGGGGATCGATTTTGAATTGCTAATAAGGGGTTGGGAGGTAAAGTCAGATTGGGGGGTAAAAAGTTCATACCAGGATGTCTAAGCCTCAGAGGTAATCCAGGGGGTGGGCCTGACAGTGGGAGTGCTGGAGGGGGAGGAATTGGAGGCATAGAGAACTTGTTAAAGTCTCCACCCAAGGATGGAGCAAATTGTGCATCAGGAAATAGAGGGCGGGGAGGTGGAGGAAATGGAGGTCTTGTAGTAGGAGGAGGCACATTGAACCGTTGAGGCGTTGTCTTAGAAGGATTGGGCAAATGAGGGCTTCTAGACTTTCCCAATTCTTCTCTATCCTTAATAGGAGATTCAGGTGCTTGGGAACCACCAACTGACTTTTTAGATGGAGAATGTTCTCTGGATCTGCCTTTATCCTGATGACGTTCTATTTCTTCCTCATCACTCATTTCCATGTCTACACTTTCAACATTATCACCTGGACGAGACTGCTGTTTTGATGGAGGAGGTGTGCGATAATCTTGATCAACATCACCCCACAAATTGGGAGGCAAGGGAGGTGGTTGCAATTCTCGCGGTGACCCAGTCAAACTTATTAGGTTACGATGATCCACATCTTTCTTGAAACGATTGTTTAAAATCCGATGATCTACATCTTTGGGAGAGGAGGAATGGCTCAGAAAAGAACGATGATCAACATCGGATTTTCGGTTGTGAACAGTGTCGTCATACTCAACGGGTTGCCGAAAGGACTCTTTTTCAAAGCTGGGAGGAGACTCCTGAAACAGAGAATTGAATAATTTTTAATATGCATGGTTGACATTCAGTACAACAAGTGAAATAAAAAAAATCAGTAATGGATTGGTTTAAGTGGGATTAGAGGGTAGGAAAAGCAGTTTGTGACTAAATTGTCTAGAAGAAAGAAAGAAAAAAAGAAAGAAAGAAAGAAATGAAGGAAGAGAGAAAAAAAAAGAAAAACCTGAACTTTCAAAGACTATAACAACCAGAACCACATTAGATTAGAAAAACGACCTAAACTATAAATTCAACAACCTCAAATTTGAACAAAAACAAATTCAAGGGTCTAAAATACCCTAAAAAAACAGAACAAATTAAAAAATTTAAATGGAGTCCTACCGGTGTCTCAAGGTTTTGTGGCAGGGGTGGTGGTGGTACCTTGGGTACAGGAAGTGCTGGCATCCATTCACCTCCATCTTGGGGGTTTGGGTCATCCCTAGACCAGTTGGAACTTGCTGTGTCCCGCCATGTTGGGAACTTCGGTGGCAAAGATGTGTTCCATGAGTCATCCTTCTCACAATTTTCTTGTGAGAAGTTGTCAAACAATGGTGGCATTGGAGGAGGTGGTATGGGAAGTGGAGTGGGTGAAGATGAGGGTAATCGGTAATCACTGGGTATTGATGGTGGTGGAACTGGAAGAGGATCACCCAAACCAGGTATTGCTGATGAGTTTGGTTTTGCACTAGATGGTGCCCCTTGTGTCAGATTATTCAAAAAATTTGTAAATATTTCGTATCTTTCCTCTTTTCTTCTACCTATCACTTCTATAGGTTTACCCTACGAATGCATTCAGAAATAAAAATATGATTAGAGATAGAAAAACAGACAGAATAAACGCCAGATAAAAGGTGATGTGATTCAGATTAGTGATTTACCTCTGGTTCGTCCTCTGATGTACCCAAAATGTTGGCACGGTTACTTCCATCATCAACAAAGAAATTGCTCTGAAAAATAAAGTGTTTGCTACAAAACAGAACAATAAAATGGTAACTAGGAATACTTGAATACATGACAAAAGCTTACTTTTATGTCAAATGGCAGAGCACCACCACCCATGAAACTTGAGAAGCAGTTAGGCATGTTGTCCATATCACCACCTTGAGTACGAGCTCTAGGTGGAGGGGATACCCTTCTGGTGTTCTGCATTAGTTTCCCTGTGGAATTTAAAAAGAAGAGTAAAACCACAGGAAAGAAAATAAAGTTGAGGCTGTGTTCCTGTGGAAAGAGAAGGACACATGACTCGAAGGTGCAACCTTTTCTCAGTTTATGAAACTTATGTTGTGTGTTTTTTCTTTCAATTCCCTTCAATTCACCAGTACTTTTCCTCTTCACTCATCAATATCTACGAAAGGTAATCAGGTACAGTGACTTTACTAAGAGAAAGGAAAATTAAGGGAATTGAAGAAAAAAACAATCTTATAATTGACTTAGATTAATTTATTATTGCTCAGAAGTCGAAAGTGATTTCGATAAAATACACAATTTGCTTCACAATTGAATGAGAAGCCAGAAATCAAGAAACACTTTAGAAAAAGCACTCTTGAATCAACTCAATACATTATTTTGGAATTTTTAAATTGCTAAAGAGAGCTTACTAACGCTTAGGCTATGAAAACTGGCAAGATCAAGGGTGGAATATGGCACAAACCCAAGAAGTCCAAGGTATTTCCAAAAACATGAGCAGCAATGGCAAGATTAAGCATAATATGTAACAAGGAACTTTACAGTTGGCTACCTTACTTCATATGCTGATAACTATTAATTCATTCAGTTACGTAGTATACAGGTACCTTCAAAGATGGATTATGACCCGCATTGAAATTAAAACACACCAAATATATGTATATTTTTTAAATTTCTAGAAGTAATTTTGAAACGAAACTATGAAAATCTTAAGTGAGCTGAAAACAACCAACATAACAAGATAAAATAACAATATATCAAGATAACAAAATTTGAGTCTGGAGCTCGGTGACAAGAAATATTCCCCTAAGCCACTTTTCTCCAAATACTGAAATTTTCAAATTAAAATAAGCCATTTTACACGGTTGAAAAAAAAAAAAAAAAGAAAAAAAAAGCAAACACATAACATGGGCCTGAATTTCAATAATTTAATGTCATGGATTAAAAACTGAATTAACAAAACTTAGACGAGATACACGTTAACTATTTAAGTTCCCACCTTTAAGCCGAGTTTTCCCAATGCACAACACATGGCACAGAAGAGTGTGACAGCAACACGTTACAAGTTCAACGAAGGAAATAACTTTGATTTAAAAGAAGTAGAGAATTCTCATCAGTCAGGTACACATCAATTCATAAGATAGAAATAACATTTTAAGCTAGAATCTGTTATAATATATAAATACCTGTCTTTTACATTATCTCAAGAATAACCCCCCAAACCTAGTTAATTACTGATCACATTTGTTATTTCTGTAGGTCCATCAACACTTTCACTTTCTAAACATTCAAGAAGCCCAGTTAAATCCTCATCAGAGGGAAGAAAATCACTCCCTAGCTCAAGAGCACTACCATTATTAACAAAATTTGAGTTTGCTGCCCTCTCTGAAGCAGGGTCTACTAAATCAACAGAAGATTGACTTCTCAATTCATCCACAGAAAATGAAGCCTCTTTCTGAGAAAAAGTTGTGCCATCCACAGCATTGCAATTATTTTTTGTGGGTTCTAATCCAATGTGTCTTTTTGCCAGCTCATCAGCTCTGTATGATGAAGAAACTTTTACTTTCCCTGGCTCTTTAAAAATAACAGTATCATTGTCAGTGATAACAATATGCTCAACTTTTTGAGAACTACTGCCTCTTTCCTGTGCTAGATGTACATTTTCTGTGGATGAACTAAGAGATATTCTAGAGGCATTGGAAGAACCCTTGAATGAAGGTGGAATTGAATTTACACAAAAATTAAGTGGCACCTCTGAATCCTCAAAGCTGTCATCTAATTCTGTTAAGTCAGAATCTGAAAAGGTGGGATCAGGCAAAGGCAGACGTCTTCTGCGTAAAAAGCCCGGCATGCCAACCAGCTCAAAGTAAGAAAATTGTGGGTTTTCCTCCTCCGAGCTATGATATGATATGATGCTCATCAAATCCTCATCAGAGTCACTTTCCACAGTTCCCTCTAAACATTGTACAATACCTGAGAGATCATCATCGTTGGGTAGGTCAATATCAGAATCTGGAGAGGGTGAAGGAGCGTTGACATCTGGGGATGGCACTGGACTCGAAAGAGTTGGGATGAGTTCATCTAACTTCCTCTTCAGAGATTTCACGCGACTACTAAAATTACGGTAAGCCTGGAAAATGTAAGGCATTAGATAGATCAAAATCAAGGAGTAAGAACAGATATATTCTGGTTTCATAATGTGACAACCTACATTAAATACAACTCTCGCATCATTTTTCTCAGTTTCATAGAACTTAGAACCTTGCTGAAGAAGATCAATAACAGTTTTTCTTTCTGAGATCTCAATTTCAAGAGCTTTTCGGTAAGCCTCCACTTGAGAAATTGCATCATCAAGCTCTCCAGCTACACCATCTGCATGTTTACGATCTGAAGCAAAACAGCAAAATGTTCAAATAATTGATTCATAATAAAATATTTTGTAAAGGTATTTAAACGAACTGTACCTTTTAACATTGTTCTAAAAGCTTCTAAATCATTAAAGTTGACAAGTTTACAATCATTAACAACTTTCAACTTGAGATCAGTGTCATCTTCCAGATCCTTACATCTGTGCATTCTATCAAAGAGATTGGAAGCCTTAAAGAGACAAGAAAAAGTTTGAAATAAAATACTTGGAAATGAATTTCACAAAAATTACACAAATATAACAAATTAGTACATTGAATTCGGTAGATGATGTTGCAACGGGGGCTGTTGTAGGTGTATCAGATGGCTTTGCTTGGGGAGTGGCTGGAGTGGCTTTTTTGGCAGTAAGAAGACCTCTCAGATCTGTGAGGAATTCTTCGTTGTACACATTTCTCTCGCCCCAGATCTTGAAAATCCGCATTATACGAATCATCACTTTGTCATGCCTACATTGTGAATAAAGATTAAGATGAAACTGATGATAAAGAAAAACACATTCTTCAAGAACAATTTGATTAATACATACCGAACCATGGTGGTGGCTTTTTGTAATGCAGTACCCCAACTTTCCACAAAATCATAATTCTTTCGCTTACTATATTGTATAACATCATTTGCTAAATAAAACAATGTCAGACGATTCTCAACTCGCACTGAAAGCAGAAGTAGAAAAGGCATTAGTATATCTGACAATTTTCAGGACCACAGGCTAAAAAAGTAAACATATTTCAGTTACCTTTTTTGAGAACACTGAGCCATGTAGCAACTATTTTCTTGTGATGCTGTTTGTGTTGAAGACACCAATCTGACAAGGTGGAAATGCTCTCCTGAGAATCCTTAAGCCCTAACAGTTTCTTTTCAAATGCCTGGTCATTGAACACTGACATGTTTCTTCTTCTAAGGCATCAAATTCTATCAAAGTGAAAGTCTGTAATATATGAAAGCCATTAAATTCAGCAAGTTCTCAACCGTACTTCAAGCTGCGACACAGGAGGAAACTAGAGAAATAAAATCTGAGTAAAATAATAAAAGTAATAAAAGTAATAAAAGCTGAGTTTGTAAAATGCACACAAAGGGAAAGTACTGGGACCATACACCAATTAACTATTACAAAATGGGGGCGGTTCAGAAAGTTAAAAGAAACATGTACAAGAAGTGCAAGCTAAGACCTCCCATAACCTAACAAACAGTGGTTTTATTGATGAAAATAAGAAAAATAAAGGGGTTTGTACATCGAAACATCGATGCAAGGAAGTGACACAACATAAACAAATTTAAACGAAATCAGAACTAAAACACGAAAAGAAGAAAGTAAAGAGAAAAAAGACAAAACCGGTAATGAAAACTTCACCAAGTCTTCGAAAGAAGCATTTTAACGGGTCCGGTAAGACTTCAAGAGTCCATTAGAGTTCTGAATTAAAAGAAGTACAATTAAAACACACAAAACTTACTCAAGTATTTTGCAAGTAGCACAAACAGACGAACATTTGTGAAAATTCTTCATTGGCGCTAAGCTTTTTCAGTACACAACTTAAAATTGGGCGAGATAAACCTGCGCCAGGCAGGAAAGAAATGAACTTGCGAACAGATCAGTAAATGGCACCATTCAATAGTATCTACTCGAAACTTTCAAACGCAGATTGGACGGTCAACATTCCAAAACACAAGAAGGACGCCGCACACAATTTACAAAATTCATACAAACATCCACCATGTTTTCTAATGCACTCTAGAGAGGGGTACGGGAAAAGATGATGACTCCGTGGCTTTACTTTTCATTTTACAAGCTTGGAGGGAGAGCAGAGAGAGAAACAGCCACCACTTAGGAAAACTGTCCCTACTCAAATAATATCTGCATTCGCCCATGCCGTGGAAACATATGAGGGGTCTTCCACACAAAATTAAATGGTTATTGCGGAACGTCGATAAAAAAAGAGCTCACAGGAATTTGATTTCGATTCTGTCGACATGAGAGTCTGTGAGACTTCGTTACCGTAAAGTTGGCAAAAGTCAGAAGCTGGCAGAAGGACAGGTAGAAGGAGGGGGAAGGGGAGGGGGCAGGTGGACTGGAAAGGAACCGGATACGTTGTTCAAAACGTTATTGAACAGAGCCGGGGAAGGGAGATGGGCGGGGACATCACTTATCACTTTTTCATTGTGATTATTATTAGTATCTGAGGCTGCATTAGTGCCACAATGGCGAGGGGAAAGGGGGATGGTTTGTCTTTACCACGCCCACATGAGAGAGGAGCCTTTCTTATCTCTTATTGGCGGGCAGAGGTTGGCAATGAAAAAGCAAGCCACAAGCAGACGACATATGTGCAGCCGGTCGTACCAACGTGCAAGTAAACCATTGAATGCAAAATCCCTACCAGACTATCAAGTATGGCCATTTAAAAAGGTTTTACAATACGAAAATTTATGTTACTGACTTTTAATTTCTGATTATTTAACTATTAGCCACCTCAAAGCCAGATTTAAACGAAATGTACATCTTCAGAGCTGCTCACCCTGTCATGTAGATGAGGTTATGTTCCTGTTAATGTTTATTTTTTATTGACAACCAGCTGTGTAACTAATTGTGGCAAATAGTGTCCCTTTTCTGTTTTATCTATTTTTGGAAGTGCTCTCATCGTGTTTATGTCGTTAATATTTTGCAAGGTATCTTGCTGAAACAATGTTTGCAAAACCCTTCCAAGTGAAAACTAATTGTCAACTCAAAGGGTCTGTTAGGTACGTTTATTAAAATTAAAGCCACATCTTTCTTTCTTTACCTCTCTAGCCGTCTACTTTCATAACTTTTTGACATGGTTTTATTTACAGGAAGAAATTCCGAGCAGACATATTGAAAGCATTTCCAAGTATCACCGAGGAGGCCTTCAATGAATACATACCTAACAAAGAACCAGTTTCCCTGATGAAAATTTTTACTCATTCCAAGGATATTGTCCATGTTTATTCTTTGGAAAAGGGACCTATTGCATTCGAGAGAGAGAATCAGCTATTTCCTGCTCTATACCTGCTCTGGCAGTTTCCTAATTTGGTTCCATCATTTACTACATGGCCACCAGTGTGTATTTAGTTTCAGCCTATTCCTCATATTTTTTATATTTTCTTTCCTGCACAGCAATTATCTTTAGAACTAAACTGTTTGTTCTTTAGGTGCTTCAAAAATTAAAAAATGGAGCCGACCTTATGCTCCCTGGTGTTGTGCTACCCGGTGGCATTTCAATAAATGCTTATGGAAAACTATCTAAGGGTGACTGTGTCTCAGTAAACCTTACAACTAATCAGGCTCCTATTGCTGTTGGCGTGGCAGCTCATTCCAGTCATGATATGTATATGTGTGGTGGTCGTGGCAAATGTGTGAATATATTGCATTTTGTCGGAGACCTCCTATGGTCACAGGGAGCAAAATATAACATTCCTGAGTTGGGTCCACCACCAGGCCTGAGTGCCTGTGTTTTCGAAAATTTGAGCTCAGAAGACGAATCAGAGGATGATTCAGAAGATGATGAGTCAAGTAAAACAGATTCAGATGAACAGAGTGAAGATGACAAGAAAACTGGACAGAGTGAGGAAGAAGAAGAGATTGAGCATGAAAATGGTTTGTTAAAGTTGTCTGAATTAATCAAAATCGGTTATCATAGTTTTCAAATCTAATGTGGTATCCTATTTCATAACCTACAGAGGTTGAAGATCTTACGCAAAAACTTACCAGCCTCATCCCAAACCTTGAAGAGAAAGCTGCTTCAGCTGAGAGCAATGATATTATCCAACCGTTGGAAACAGAAGCGGAAGCTATGGATAAACTACTCAGATTTTGTTTCTTGAAATCCCTTAAAACATCAGCTCGAAAGGTAGTTTCAGAAAATGACACAGCATTACAGCTCTCTTTATCGGGAAATGTTATTTGAATACATTTGCTTGTCACAGGTTGATCTGCCAATCCTTACTAGCAACTTTTATAAAGTACATATGCTCTCTGCGTGTCCTCCTGGAAAATCAGTAGATTTAAAAAAGTCTTCTTACAAAAAGCTCAGTAAATTTCTTGATGAAATTGCTGTTGAAAAAATAATTTCTCAAAAAGAGTTAAGCAAAGGAGTAATGAGTATAACTTGTAAGTTTCTTTTAAATTGCCGATGTGGCTTTTACTGGAGATTGTTTACATAATCCCTCTAATTCCTTGCCAATTTTAGCAATTAACTACAACCATGAAGCTGTTCTCACTTTTTTGGATCTGGATGCTGTGGTTGATGTAAGTGGTCAGGTATTACCTGGGCATTCTCGTGTTGGAAAATGTATGTGTGGCCAAGTACATGCCGAGCAAATGTACTCAGTTACACCTTCAGTTCTTCCAATATTCAGCCTTTACTCTAACAGGTATATGATCAATCCAAATAATTTTTTTACACTTATTATTTCACAATTTCAACGTTGTAATTTTGTTGGCTTTTGTTTTGCATACAAGGCTTGGAGCTGAGCTTTCCCCTGCGTCTGTTAAAAAGGTGATTAGTGACTATGTAAACAACAAAAATCTCCACATCGGTGGAGACACTAGGTAAGGTGTTGAAATAGAACTAATGAGAAGATTAAAATGTTATTCCACTGTCACTTACATAATTTATCTTCTTATTCTTTAAAAAAAAATATATTCAGTAAAGTTCAATGTGATGATGTATTGGCAAAGGCTGTGTTGGGGGTTCTACCAGCAGAACCTCTGGTTTTAGTTTGGGATGATCTACTTAAAAGAGTGATGGCACGTATGTTGGACACAAGTTCATTACCACCCCCTAAGATACACAAAGAAGACAAAGGAAAATTGACCCCCATAGATATCCAAACTGCCACACGCACTGGAAACAAAAAGGTATTTTCAAAAATTTGTTAATGCTATGAAGAATCACTTGTCCTAATTTCCTAATATGTTGCTAAGATGAATGCTCTCTTACTCATTTTAGGTGACTTTAATTTCAAACTTAGAAATTTACGGTGTGGATGTAGCTGAATTTGCAAAGGAATGCCAACGAGGTGTAGCGGCAAGTACTACCATCAATCCCCTCCAAGGACGAAAAGGAGTTCAACTACAAATTCAAGGAAATCAAGTTCGTTTCATTTCACAACTGCTGCATGGTAAGTCATGGTAAAGATGTTACACATATGTAACTCTGAAGTACCACAATTGTTCATGACTGTTTGGTTGCTTCAGATAAATACAAAGTCCCCTTAGCCAATATGCGAGGGTTGGACAAAGCTCCCAAAGTTAAAGGACAAAAGAAAGCCCCATCAACAAAACCGAAGAAATAAAAACTGTGTAAATAAAGGGAAAAGTAACTGATGCTTTTATTAAAATTTCCTTTTCTAAATAAAAATGTAGCTTGCTTTCTTGACCACATTTATATACATTTCAGCCAAGAAGGAAACGTATTGAGCAGGTAACTATACATAATGCATGCTGAAAACAATTACAGAATATGTAGACATACAGGTTGATATAGAAATTCAACCAGGATAGATAATTGATAATTTAATTACAGCTTTTCTTATAATATATGCTAAAGGTGTAAGCAAATGTTTCCCTACACAAGAGAAAAAATAGGGCTACTTCAATTGTGATTTTAAATGGTATTTATTTAGAGCATTATTAAAAATGCGGGAAGAATGAATTACACTACTTCATGAGCACCTGAGTGAATTAAAGTAAAAGCAGCCTACAGTAAGTAAAAACAATTTCTTATATCTGCTTAATAGTATGTGGACGGATGTTCCTCAGTCCCTGTAGCTTAGCAATACGTAGATGACACCACAATAACAGGAGAAAAAGTACAATAACCTAGCTTGGATTTCATGGTTCAAGAAAAATGCGTTTTTTGGAACGGTATCAAACAATTCGGAGATCAAAGAAATTGTATCAAAAATAATGTTTGTAAAGTGGAAAGTTTGCACAGACCTAACTTATGAACATCCACAAAGAGGACAGCAGAGGAAGACACAATGCTAGAATACTGTAGGATAAAAATTCTATAAAATATATAGAAACAATACAATACTTTACACAGTAAACAAAAAAAAATCTAAAAGCATAACACAAATACATAATGTATTGAGCTTCACCCAATTCAATCTACTGCAAATATGTTTCTGAAATGACAATACAAACTGAGGAATGTATTCATTCAGACTATACAAAGTTCAATCATTTCTAGTAATAAATGATTTTTTTTGTGTATCTCAAAAGAATTCCAATATCAATGATCACACACTTTCTTGCATCAAGTTCATAAACATTTAAAAAAATACAAAATTGAGATTGTCAGTCAAACAGTTACAAAGATAGATTTAAGTATGTTGAAGCATTTAAAATCACCAACTTGGCCAAAATAATGACATTCAAGTTAGGAAAGCCAAATCAATTGACACAAATTAAACTAAGTCAAATAATTTTCATATCATATTGTTATGTGTGATAAAACTGCCATCTCATTCAGTTCACCTTTTCTCTAGAGAGTCACCATATTAGAGTTGTATTCGACTAGACCAAACTCTACTCTGTAACACATGTATATTTTATTTGTCATCATTTTCTCCTAGAAATCTATTTCACAGGGTCAAATAATGACCCAAAGCAGGTACATACATGGCTATTGACGACCCCATTTACTATCACTTCCTGTAGTATAAATGAAACATCTATCAACATATCACTTTTTAAAGTAAAACTCACCAATCACAGCTGATGTAATGGAGTTGGTGGGTTGGTAACTTGAGGTGTGTGTGCTGATGTGGGTATTTCCAAGATTAATGACTTAGAAATGGGTTTTGCAAAGAATTCTCTGTGCTGCACGAATCAGTGGAGTAAGTGAACTTAGCTTTGCACAATCTTGCAGGAAGGGATGCTTTAATAGTTCATCTGCACTTGCTCTAGTATCAACATCAACTTGAAGACACCTGTCTAAAAAGTCCTGGAAAAATCAATTAAGGTTTTTTATATAGAAGAACGTTAAAATCTTAAAAACAGGATAAGATTACCTAAACCAAAGATAAGTAATATATGCTGTCGCACCTGCAAATCAGGGGATAGAGAATCCCATCTTTTTATTTGTGGTCTACCAATCGCTGCAATCAAATAGAGAGCCCGAAGTGGTGTTTCTTTCAAATAGGGTGGTTCTCCCTCTATCATTTCTATGGCCATAATGCCCAAGGACCAAATGTCCACTTTGCGACCATACTGTTTTCTAGTCACAACCTCAGGAGCCATCCAGTATGGCGTTCCAACCATGGTTTGCCGTTTCTCATCTCCAACAATATTAGCACTGAATCCAAAATCAGTTAATTTCACAGTACCATCAAGACCTAGCAGAACATTATCTGACTTGACATCTCTGTGGATTATACCCTGAAAGTATACGGCATTGTTCTTTAACAAAAAATGAACAGGGGAGACCAATAAAACATACATATTGAATTGTAGAAAAAATTCCTACCTTATTGTGCAGGAAACTTATAGCCTTCAAAACTTCACGACATACAGCTGCAATTTGCTTGTCTTTCATTACTGTCTCTGTGACCACATCTGTTAAGGGTCCACCATCCAATAACTCCATAACAACCTGGAGTGGACAGAAAATCACATGTTAGAGAGGAATACAAATAGACCAATAATACAACTCATGTGTCTATACCTACCCAAAGGTGATCTTCAATAAGGTAAGCATCCAGGAAGTTCACTAAATTCTCGTGATTGAAGTCCTTCATAACTCGAATTTCATTAAGAATGAGTTCTTTTCTAGGCTGCTTGGAAAGATCAATGTCTTTAATAGCAACTCGCTGATTTGTAACTGTATCTCTTGCAATTGACACAGTCCCCGAAGCCCTGAAAGGTAAAAAAGGAGGAGGGCCGTTACATAAGTTGACTTAGATGGTCTTACGATAAGAGTGGCCATCTACAAAATAACTCATTCCGATTCAAATTCTTCTCAAATTTATCAGCTACTAGTGTGTATCAATTTGGAAACACGTACAGATTATATTTAAAGCAGAAAGTAAACCCAAGACATGCCCTATTGCCAGATTGTGGGGAAAAAGGCTGAGTACAGAAGAAATGCAAAACCATACCCTGCACCAAGCTCAGATTTTACTTCAAATCTACGCCTGGGATTCCCTGGATGACAGATTCGATTCAATTCTGCATAGACTTCCACTTCACTCATTTGATCAACAGATCGATCATCTGTTTTTCTTCTCAACACAGGACTCTCATCATCACTATGATTAGCTGGCAGCACAGGATCAGGAAGGGACTGAACATCTAATTTTAAGTTCTTTAAACTTTCTTCAAGTGCCTCATTAATCAGAGCACAGTTGGATTCTTCCTTGTCCTCCTGTAATCAACACGCATATCAATGTAGTAAAGCTACAATAAGAATAAATGGTCTATAGAATAGATTCCATACCTTTTGAATGACAATATATGTAGATCGATCAAAATTATCGCCATACTCTGATTGAAGGGAGGAACGGGGTGTTGCCTCCTCTGAGGATGATGATGGTGAAATAACTTGATCGGTTCCATCACTGAGAGTGCTTAGAGTTAAATTATTGCAACCCTTTGCTCGACCTGATATACATAAAATCAAAAGTGGTATTTCAATATTCAAAAATTTAATGACTTAAAAGTGACACATGGCATTAATTATAGTACAAAATATACTCCTTAGCTGCACTTACACAATGAGCTGATAGAAATTAAAGGGCTTTTAACTCCTTAATAAAATAAAGATTAACTAATAGAGACTTACCTAAGCCAATATTTTCTCCAAGGATCTTCTCAATTTCTTTAGATTCTTGTTCAATTATTCGTTCTGTTGCTAAGGGTTTAAAAGTATCAGATATTCTTTTTTTTATTGAATAATTATAGAACTTAATGGCTTGTAAGGCAGCATTTGGATTTTCATCTTGTTCAGCTTTTCTGTAATCAGACACATCCTACAATGAAACTAAGTCAAAAGAGAAGCTGTCACGCCTTGAGATGGTGACCTTCAGTGCGGGAAAATCACATGGCAACCTTCCCCAGATATTTTTTTGAGATTAAATGGGCGTGACATTTAGAATAATATCGTAAATTAGAGAAAACAACCTTTATTGTAAGTGCACAGCAAGACTAAGATGAGAAACTATGCCGAAGTGACAGCACAACAGGTGAGTCACAACAACAATAACATAACCTCTCTTTTATCATAACCCAACGAGAGTGTACTTGATAGACATTTGTCTGAGACTGATGCTACTGCATTAAACTTTAATAAAAGGAGTGATTTCAGAGGACTACTTACGTTATTTGGGTGTTGAGGAGTCTAAGCCAGGGCGTTGGTAGACCTTCAAGCAGCCCTGTCTCCTTATTCTTACTGACATGAAATTCGTGAGAAACATTGGTCGGCAGGCCTATCTCTGTAGGCCCCTCGTTCACATGCTTCTTTTTAGAGAAAAACTTTGAAAATCCTAAATTCATCTCAAAATAAAATAAGACGAAGTCCCCGACATAAACACCACTGAGCAGTCGACACTAATAAAAATACATTGGCCCCCCCACTGCGATTCGAGATTTGGGTCGAGGTCAGTGTCGAGATGTATCGAGGGGGAAGAAAAGTAGGAGTCGATACCGGGTGAAGAGGGAATTTCAAGTCAAGTCAACAAGAGAGGTAACACGTTCTTCCGCGTCCGACCCTACAACCCCACAGCAACAACGAGGTAAAGCAAAGTCAGTAGAGTAGGCTACAGTGAACTGTGGAGACCGTTAGGCCGTTAGACACACGAGTCGAGCGCGTGGATGGGGTGGGGGCGGTAGTACCTGAAGTAGATTGATACGAGTATAGGTCCAGGCCGATAAGATGGGTGACGTACACGGGTCGTTCGTTAAACCTGCTCTTATCGCCGTCCGGCTCGGCGCCGTGGCTGCGGCATACTCTCACATCCGCCGGCGTGAGTGCGGCCGGCCCTCGAAAGGCACACGTGTGCAGTGTAAGACTCGCACCCCATCCTTTTTGTGAAGTGCCAATCAAGTTTCTTAAGTCGTCAATTTGATGTAAATTATGACAGAGGACGCAATTTTGATTCAATTATGTTTCAGAAGGTGTGATATTTTTTTAGAGTAGGTCTATCGTATCGTTGTTCGGCTGCGGGAAACTACTAGACTTAAGGTGGCAAAGAAGAGGGTCCGTGGTAGGTCTTATCTAGAGTCCATGGACAGTCGTCAATAAACGGCATATTTATTGTCATCTACTTGCTTGCTACCCAGTGCAGAGCATACAAAAATGCCATAGACGCTGAAAGATGGGGGTCTACCACCGTATTTCCAGCAGCTTCGCAACCGCATGCAGTCGTGCGGACGGGTTGCATACTCACGCGTAGCCTTATGGCGCCGTGGTGAGCGGTGGTAGGCAAGCCCGCCCACACGACTGCATGCCGTACAGTAGAAGCAAAATAAAGGAAGGGGTCTATGGACCACCCTGTAAATTAGGGTCCACCCACATTTTAACGACTCAGAAACTATTCCTGAACCAACTCTGTGTCCGCCCCTCCTGTGCTTCCTCGAACCATTCAGGGACCATTTGGAACGCACAGAACTTACTTGTGATAAATATTCATCTCCTAGTTTAGAAGCACCGCAACTAGCAAGACAAAATCTGAGCTACATAGCGATGGTGAGCTAAATTTTCTCCTATTTGCTTTCTTTTGCAGTTGACGCAATACGTTCAACTTCAAACAGGCGCGACAGCCCTCCCTCGTCGTCTCTAGTGATTCGCCTGAAAGGTAGCCAAGTTGCGCTCCAATATACTCCTGTGTTCAGGCAACCCAAGGTGCATCGCCCCCTATGCCGCTCCTGACTCCCGTCTAACGTCCGCCCGCGGTCGGGAAGGCCCTCCCTCGGTCCGGCCCCGGCCAGAGGACGAGTCGCTGCCTCTACTTGAAAAGGTTGAAATTCCTCTCATACCGCCCCTTCTTCTGTTCCGGTCTACGACCGCTGGTCGAAACTTAGAACTCAGCCAGCCGCGGCGGCAGGGGCTGCGGCGCGGGGCGCGGCGGCTGGCTCTGTGCCCCGTGCCTCTGTTTGCTGTAGCGCCGAGTCCGCCGAGTAGCACTCGGGAGGGAGGAGGGAGGGCCGCGCGGTGTGGCCTCCCCACCGTGCGGCACAGGCCTAGAGAAAACCTCAAGGTTTGGAAGAGTAAAATAGTAGTAGTATTCGTGGTTTTGTGGCGGCTGTGCCATCAGTGACCGGTGACGGGCTCTGACGGGGAGGAGCGGGTGCGAAGCACACGCGGGGGTGGCACGGCGCGGCGCGGCTGTGTGCCGGGGGTTACAACAACGCTCCGCCACGCTCCGCTCGGCCGCGCCACGCCAGGCCACGTCCTCGCACTCTTTTGCGGACAGGTTGAAGTGCGCGGGGTATGGAGCGGTGGCTGCCTGGCTGCGCGGCCGCCGCGCCCCGCCCCGGCTGCCAGCCCGGCTGCCCGCTGATCGATACGGCGGTATGGTGGAGCCAACTGGAGCCTCGGAGTGAGGGGTGGCGTGGGGCGGGGCGGGGCGGGGGTAGAGGAGAGAGGGCGAAGGTGGTGGAGGACTCCAGAGCGCCCGAGTCCCGGTGGACGGCGCGGCGGCGGTTGCCGTGGCAACAATCTCCCGTGCCAGCATCAACATTACGTTTTACGCGGAGGAAAGAAGTGATGGCGCGTCCCAGACGTCTCAAGCGGCCGAAAAGGCCAGCGGCCTGTGTCAGAGGGAAGGGCTCCCGGGGCGGTGGGGTTGTAGAGAGGGGGCGAGGCACAGATGCGCTTCCGCCGGGCCCCGCGCCGCAAGGCATACCCGGCGCGGGCCGAGGGGCCGAAGGGGTTGGGGCGGCTGACGCGGGGAGCGGGGGCGCTTCTACTTTCGCGTCGTTTGTAAGCTTGATAGACACCCTGTGCTCCATAAGGCCTGATTGCATCTCCGCCGCCGGGCCGGCCGCTGTAGCTCCCAGCCGCGCCGGCGCCGCATGCTGCATAGACTCTTCGCGTCCTCCAGCAGGCTGCGGGGCAGGGCAGGGGCGCGCACGACCCGACCCGGAGGGTAGGCAACCCGCAGCGATGGACCGCCCTTGTGCGCTTCCTTGACGCGGGGTGGGAGGGGAAGGAGGGGGATCGATTCAGCACGCCGTTACCAGATGCGTAGCGTGTATGTGAGTGTGTGAGAGAGAGAGAGAGGCAGAGAGAGAGGCAGAGAGAGAGAGAGTGTGTGAGAGAGAGAGACAGAGAGAGAGAGAGACAGAGAGAGAGAGAGAGAGAGAGAGAGAGAGAGAGAGAGAGAGAGGGGGGGGGGGCAGAGAGAGCGTAGGTGCGAGCACGCTGATGAGGCCCTAGCAATGCGGCACCTGTGTGTATGGCCACACGTCCAGGCGCACTGTGTAAACGGTGAGTCTTGCGTCGTGCACACGGTAGGCCTCTTCCCTGCGGCCCCTCGGCCCCGCGGCCCCTCGGCCCGCCCTGGGTCCGCACCCTCCACCTCCACTTTGTGGTCAAGTCTCACACCAGTTGCAGCCAGTATGTTTGTTCGAGCATTCTGTCTCGCTCCCACTCTCTCCACACACGATGAAATAAGAGGGGGAAAAAATAGCAGGGATGAAAATAGAGGGAAAAGGAAAATAAGGGGAAGGGGAGCGTTTCGAGAAATGTCCCGCGCCACTCGAATAATTAGTTTTTATTGTGGCGGCTGTTCGGGCCGACCACCCCGCGCGTGTGGCCGCTCCCACGCTCTCGCGCCACTCAATTCACCGGGCTCCGCAGCGGCTCCAGGGAGCTTCTAGGCGCCTCACCGCGTGGATGTGTGCCCCGCCACTGCAATGTTTGAAATCCCCTCTAACGATTGTGTCTGCTTTGTAAGGGACATCATCCAGAAAGTACGTCCGTCATTCGCCGTTACGAATACCCTCCAAATTAAGGCAATGCAAGTTCTCATGGCGCCTGATGGGTGGGCACAATCTTGCATGCCGTGCATGCGTGTATTGCGGGGTGGCCTACTCCGAGTTTTGCAGGCGCCGAGCTGCTGTAGTGTGCAGGATGATTTTGAGAGAAACGGACGTTTTTTCTGGACGATCCCTAACTGCGAGCCAAAATTTCATTCGCGTACGACGTCTAGGTAATACGCGTAATGTAAAGAAAATACTCAGCACTTGCGAAGCAATTTCCTACGTAGGCTTCCAGACCAGCCAAATTCTTCCCAACGAATTGTCGGTGCCCGCTGGAGTAGAATTGTTGGATAACCGTAATATGGCTTTGGTAAGGCGCGCTTCTTGGAGAATGGAGAATTGCTCTGGCCGGTCGGTCCTAGCTTGTCCTGCAGATGGATAGGACAGCCCGCCCGAGAGGGACAGCCGTGGACAGCCATTATAAACTGGAACTGGAAGCTGGAGGCCAGTATCCTGTGGTGGGGGTTTCCTCTCCGTCGACCACCGACCAGCAGCGACATTCTTTCGAACTCATCAAGTGGAGTGTTTCAGCCTCGCAGCGGCGGTGAAAGGGAGGAAGGCGGGGCAGGCCCGCGCAGGGCTAGGAAAACTCGGGGAAACGGAGCGGGAACGTCGCTTTAATAACAACATTGAGCAAAGATGCGAGCAGTCGATAAAGTGGGGGAAAGTATACACAGTACTTGTGGAACTACGAACAACTCGAAGAAAAACAACGATTAACATCATACTTTACATTGTTCGGGCACAGCACCATTATGATCCCCTCACCTCGACTACACTTAATCACAACAACGGCAAGAGAAAAATTACGCAGAAAATAAATAGAACACCATATTGTCTTTTGAGCAAAGCAGAGACATTCCTTACAGGGCACGGCACTGACGGAATTCATTAAAATACATAAAAAGAATATTTAAAAATGGAGGGAACCAGGGAACCGCGGAATTCTCTCTTCACATACATTCGCTCGGCAGATCGCACCGGCGCAGTGCTCTCTTTGAATATGAGTATCAGGCACTGGCCGGGATTTCATTAAAATTCCTTTTTGAAATCCCCATGTGGGAAGAACAGGCCATCACATTTGCACACTCCGGACACCTGGCACGTTCGCAGAGGTAATATTTTTCTGCTCTCCCAAGGACAAAACTGATTTTTGAGATACTGACAAAAATTATGCCGTAAGTAGTGAAGCCAGTAAAGGCATTGTTAAGTTGACTGGTCCCTTTCTAATCAATAGTGCGTAAAAAACGTGGCATTGGCTCGTTTAGAGGGGCAGTCGGCCTGTGCCTTCCCCCACCTCAGGCAGCCTCAGTCCCGCCACGCCCTAAGGGAGGGGCCGCGAGCCACGCCCTGGATCCACGTACCGAACCACCAGCATCCCGAGCACCAGCCCCACCGCAGGCCCCCGCTACCGCCCCCG